TTTATTTCAGCAAGCAAGGGGCTCAGTGGTGCGCACAGGTTGCCCAGGAAAAGATAACGATTTGCAAATAGAAAACAAAACTATTATGGCAAAAAAAAAGGATCAGAGAAGACTTTCCCTCTTTCTCCCCCTTTCCCCTCCCCTTCGTTGAATAGATTTATATTTAAAACAGGCTCCCAACCACTTAATTTGAATTCCAGGGGTTGAACTCAGGTTAGTATGAGATTCTGTTTCTATACATTGAAACGAAACAAACAAAACCCAACTGTTTTCCAAAACACGGAGCCTTTGGGGTTGAGTGACTGCCCCACGCAGGCGGCAGCGCAGAGGAACTCCTTTGGTTTTGCCTAAGAACAGGGGATCGACCCAGGAGGGAGCTGGCAGAGAGGTAGCGCGTAAAACTATTCCCGGGAGTGGCCCCCGCGCGGCGCGTGCGTGAACGGGAGGCCGTAATAGATGCTGCCATTAAGAATCCGTGCAGCTTGCATTGCTCGGGGCGCAGGGACGCATGTGTTGCTGGAATTCAATCGTGGGGGGGGGATGCAGATTGGGCTGCGACCCACTGGGTTTGATTTATGAACTGTTACACCAGCGATTGTTTACACATTGCATTTCAGAGCCCAGGCTCACCCTCCCTGCGGCGGGCTGCGGGCTCCGCCGGGCGGGAACCTGCTGAGCCACCAAGCTCTCCCTTCATCCTCCTCCCTTCCCTACACGCCCCCCGCCCCCGCCCCACGCAGCCCCCTTTTCCCCTCTACTTTCATCAAGAAATCAGATTTCGATTTCAATGAACCCGGAGACCTGCGTGCAGTTGTCCCTCCCCCAACCTACCCTCTGCCCGCGCGGACCCCAGACCTGGGTCTCCTCCGTCCTTGTTTACTCTGGAATGTTTACTTCTTCGTAAGGCCATGAGGGGCCTATAAATAGGAAAAAGTGGAAGCATCTCGACTGCCGATCAATAGGGCCCGTCTCCTCGCCATTTCAACTGAGCTGCCTTATTAATTATGAAAGGATTCACCTGATCCCTGCCAGGGAACAGTCTCTGCCCCTCGGCTGGAACCCTTAATGGCGGTTCCTTCGCAAGCTGCCTCTGGCCACCGCAGAGGAAGAGGCGAATCGTGGTTAGGGACCGGCCTGGAAGGAGCGTGGTTAGGGCTCAGACCCACCTGAGGTGGGGGGCAGCTGGCTGGCCACTTGGCATTGCGTCTGCCAGCGCCCCCCCCCCGGACGCGCAAGCCCAGTTTCTGCACTGCGCACCTAGAAGGGACCTCTGCTTTTGAATGAATACATTTTAAAACAATTTCCCTCCCCTCCCCTTTCAAGAATGAGAAATTCGGGGGTCGTGGCAAGGAGTCCTAGCTAAGGAGCATCTGCTTGAAGCCTTCAGGTTATCCAGTGACTTTGTGAACACGTGAATTAATTGATCATCCGGCGTTGTATGTCCCTTGAGGTACCCAGAGAACTTGGTGGAGGAAACAAAGCGACACCCCCATTTCAAACAATAACTTTTATTTTATACTTCTCTATACTTTGTAGCAAATCTTTTTTTGCTGAATTTAATTTATAATAAACTTTTTAAATTACATCTCTCTCTTTTTTAAAATCAAGGCTCTTTTATGTCAAAATCTTTTTTTTAACTATATTTTAGATTAACATTTAACATCCCCCCCCCTTGTGATCTATACCACTGGATATTCAGGTATTACTGTATGTGTAACAGCTAAAACGAGAGAGGAGGGAAAATAAAGGCAGTGGATTTGAAAGATGCATCAACAACAGCAGGTAAAGCTAACCCCTCAGTGACCTTAGCAGCATTGCTTTTCACACCTTTTACCATGATGCCAGAGTTGCCACAACCCTGTCCTCTCTCCCTCCTACCCATAAAAAACCTAAAGCCAATAATCTGTCATTTTGCTTTCTGGAGGAGAAATGTGCAGTGGAAATGATCAAAACAAGATACTGTGGAAGAAAGACGTGAGCGTGAATTATTCACCATATGCTTCCCACGTGGACATCTCTCTTGAATTCATTCCCCTGGCCTTCTCCTCTCCTCGCTTTCCTATTAGGAGGAGCCCATCATTTTTCATGTGATTTACATGATTAATATAGTAGGTGGCCCAGGGCCGTTCCTGAGATTCTTTTGCCAAAAAAATAAAAATTAAAAATTAAAAATAAAATGGGGGTGAGTTGCCGTTTTCATATTTGTGTGTGAAGACGGACTAAAGCTGAGGTCCGATTTTGGCTGTGCTTGCTCGCTCACTGATTGGTAACATTTGGCAAATTAAAACACAAGAAATCAAACGAAATTAGAAAAAAAAAAGAGAATCAGGATTTCCCACAA